TGACTTTTCAAATATGGCAAATGTCTTTGTAACAAAGAGACTTGGTTCCCATAGATGACAGAAATGAGCTGAGGTAATAACATCATCTTACAATATACTTTTGTGAAGAATAGAATTTCACTCAAACTATCTGAAGAAAATGCAATGTATTAAGCAGATACTGTTTCTGGTTTTTTTTGTTTGATTGTTTGTTTGTTTGTTTGTTTGGTTTTTTGAGACAGGGTCTCACTATGTAGTTGAGACTGACCTAGAACTCACTATGTAGCCCAGGCTGGTCTCGAACTCACAGCGATCCTCCTACCTCAGCCTCCCAAGTGCTGGAATTACAGGCAGGCACCACCACGCCCGGCTCAAGCAGATACTGTTTTAATTAATTCCAAAATGAAGTTAAACCACCAGACATCAGGAGGGTTGAAAACTCACACTCTATCATAAACATACAGAAACAGAGAATCTGGTTATTTCCATACACTCTACATATGAATTGGCCCCTTCATTTTAGGCTGGGCTCTTGAGTAAATTAGAGTATGGCTCAGATGTTGAGAGGATAAATGCATTCTTAGAATGTGTGTGGAAAGGGAAAAATAGAGGACACTGATGAGAACCAGTGTAACAGCCATAACGAACTGCATGTTTGTTCATTTGTTTTAATTTTTAAAAGATGAGGTCTTGCTCTGTTGTCTAGGCTATCCCTGAATTCCAGGGCTTAAGTAATATTTCTGCCTTAGCCTTCTACATAGCAAGGGTTACAGGCACAGGCTACTCCACCCAGCTTGTCATGTGGCTAAGCTACCTTCATTATGGACAGTCATTAATACTGGGATGCGAGGACAAAGGTTCGACCCAATACCAACACAGATCCCAGTGAGAAGCTGGTGTGGAAGGAGTGATGCCAGGGCCCCTCCCCAACCCAGATTATTTGGGCCCACAAACCCCAGCCAAAGATCCACCAGGAAAAGAGCTGCATAGGTGCAAAAGCACCTGTAGGAAAAAACAATATAGTGAAAATGGCCATACTTCCAAAACTATTATAAAGATTCAGTGCCATCCCAATTGAAATTCCAACAGCATACTTCACAGACCTTGAGAAAACAATTTAAAAAATTGCAAAGGCAATTCTAGCCAACAAAGACAAGGTAGGGGGCATCACAATCTCCAAACTAAAACTGTACTACAAAGCTACTGTTATTTAAGAAAAAACAAAACAAGAAAAGACAAAACAAAATAGAAACAGCCTTGCACTGGCAAAGAAACAGATCTGAGGACCAGTTGAAGAGATTATAAGACACAGAAACATCTCTGGACATACTCAGCCACCTCATTTTCAACAAAGGAGCCAAACACCCTCACTGGAGAAAAGATAGCCTCTTTAATAAATGGTGCTGGAAAAACTGGGTTTCAACTTGCCAAAGATTAAAACTAGACCTATATCTCTCACCATGCACTAAACTAAAATCAAACTGAATTAAAGCTTTAAATATTATAATAGAAACACTAAACTGGCTGGAAGAGAGGTTAAGTAGAACTCTTGAAGACAGTGGTGTAGGAAAAGATTTCATGAACAAAACCTCAGTTGCACATAAACTAGCACAAAGAATCAACAAGTGTGATCTCTTCTTATTAAAAAGCTTCTGCACAGCAAGAGAAACAACAGTGTGAAGAGACAGCCCACAAGGTTGGAAACAACTTTTACCAGCTATTCCTCAGATAAAGATTTATTATCTATAACATATAAAGAATTTAATAAAATCAGACCTCCCAAATTTAAAGACCCAATCCAAAATGGGTATCTGAAATGAGCAGACATTTCTCTGACAAAGAATTTGGGATAGGAAATAAACATCTGAAAAAATGTTCAATATCACTGGGCATTTGAGAGGTGCAGATGAAAACACTGAGATTCCCCCTCACCCCAGAAAGAATGGCTGCTATCATGAAATCAAACAATAACAAATGCTGACCAGGCTGTGTGGAAAAAGGAACCCTTCAGCACTGCTGGTGGGAGTGTAGACTGGTGCAGACACTGTGGAAATCAATTTGGGGATACCTCAAAGAAATAGGACTAGAGGTCCCATTTGACCCAGCTATTCCTCTCCTGAGTATCTTCCCAAAAGAATTAAAAGACTTATAGCACAGTGATATATGTGCACCCATGTCCATAGTTCAGTTTGGAATAGCTAAAACTTGGAAACAGCCAAGTTGCCCATTATCTGGAGACTGGATAAAGAAAATGTGTGTGTGTGTGTGTGTGTGTGTGTGTGTGTGTGTGTGTGTGTAGTAAAATGAAGTACTACTTTGCCATAAAGAATGAGAAATCAGAGGCATTTATGGCTAAATGGATGCACATTGAGGCCATACTCCTTTTTTTTTTTTTTTGGTACGGGGATTGAACTCGGGTCTTTGCGCTTGCAAGGCAGGCCACCAAACCGCTGAGCTAAATCCCCAGCCCAAGGCCACACTCTTAAGTGACAGGGGAATTGGAAGGGGTAGGGGAAATAAAAGAAGGGAATGGAATTAACACGAGAAAATGAAAAAATGGAAACATGGTTTTTATAAATAGAGAGGGGTGGAGGGGTTGAAGAGAGGGAAAAAATAAGAATCAAGTTACATTATGTAAAGGTACAAATCTCCAGTGATGAATGTCATTATGTTGTATATCTAAAATGCACCAATAAAACTAATTTGAAAAAAAGTAAGGGAAAATAGGTGGTATATATAGTACAATCACTAAAATAATGAAATCTTGGGTCATATGAGATAAAGGCTATAACTTGCTTAAAATAAAGCTCTGAAATTTCTGCACCAAAGCTTTAATTAATCTGTGAAAAAGATCAAAGCCTGACACTGGCATTCCTTTGTGAAAGGACATTCACAGGTATAATTCAGAAGTCTGCAACTAATATACTTGAGCTTTTTAAAGTAAGTTGAATATTGTTCTATCAAAGAGCATATATTGTTGTTACCAAAGCATATGAAAGTAATAGTAATGATAGTCACTACTTTAGGAGACTGGCTGTAAAAATTACTACAAATAGTTATTTAGGATTTAGAAATCTTAAAGATAAGATTAGCAGTCTTAGTAATCATAAAGCTAATCCAAACTGACAAATATGTAAATAAAATGCCAAAATCAGGCCAACAAGATCTATTGAAAACTTAATTTTCCCTAAGTATTAGTAAATATGTATTGGCAAATCTTCAAGGTGCAAAATTCTGAAACTCTGACTCTCAATAAATGTTCTAAATGGAGATAGCATTAAAAACATTCATAATAGATGTAATAAAGAAGAAATAATAAGCATACCTGTTGCAGTATTGGTAACCTTTTAACACCTGGGTCACAAAAGAGGCCTCTGCTCTGTTTTTCTCTCAAGTTTCAACTCTCAGAATGGTACAGCATTGCTTCCTTTCTTATATGTATGATTTTCCCTGGTAGCAATTTAAAGGTTCAACTAAAATCATCATAGTCTTCCTCCCCCTCTACCCTCTTGAGCATCTTCAGTGGAACCACAGTGACCTATAAAGATGTCACTTCCAGCTCAAGTTCCTTAACAGCTTTGCAGGGCCTACAGGACAAATTGAACACCTCTGTAATCAGGGAGTGCAAATTCCTTCTTGTCCACCTGTCTCTTTGTTGTCCGTATTCATCTCCTTCCATTCTGAGTCTTATACTTGACACTCTTGTCACTTCTATTTATGCGATGCTTACAGGCCTTCTCCAATTTTCTATCCTCGGACTGGAATATTCTTCTGCCCAACTCTCTCCACCCTTCTTTATCTCAGCAATGACTCAGCTTCTAAGAGAATTTCCTTAGCCTACTAAATTGGTGAAAATATCTCTCAAAGTACGCCATGCATGCCTCAACCACAGTACTTATGCGATGATCCAGAACTGATTAGACAGTGAGTCTACTTCCTCACTAAACTACAGACTGGCTCCGCACTGTAATACCGGTGCCTACAAGAGACTACATATGGTAGATTTGTGGAATAGAATGGACCTTCTGATTCTGTTATACATTAGTAGTATTTTCAGCAACAATGTACTAAACCATTTCCTAGAAAATTTAAATCCCCAAAGAATCCAGAAACTTAGAAATGAATTGCTTAAAAATATTATGCTGCTTGCATAAACTAAATTCACTCTTTTAATTTTTCTTGATAGTTTGCTTCAAGAAAATATGTGCTCATAAATGTAGCCCAAGAGCATATTCTTAGTGTGCTGGCTCTCTGCCTGGGAGCATCTGTATGCTTTGCCTAAAGCAAGATTGTGATCATTCCAGCAGGAGGCACTGTGATGGGTCTCAAGGCATGGCTGAGGTGGTGCTTTTTCACATCAGAATTGTATAATTGGGACTGTCACAAATAATATGATTTGGTTTAATCACCCCAAACAAGGAGTACATTTCTGTTCTATATCCTAAAATCCTCATTATTTTATATTTTTATGCATAGTGAAAGTATAAATAGAATCTTGTCTGTGAGTGTTACACTAATCCAAAAGAAAGATTTAGACAAGTAAAACAAATAAAATAGATAGATCACTTCATGCATCCACTATTCAGAGATAATTTTGTGCCCTATATTACCTGTGTCTCTTAGATAACAATGATTTGGAAGTCACCCTACCCAAGTTATCCAGAAAACTGCTGCAATTTCCCATTTCATATACCAATATAAGAATGACCTAAGAACAATTTTTAAACAAAGAGAACCGAGAAGCCAAAGTAATAAGGCAAAGTTTGATGTTCATATTAATGACAGAATTATTTATCATCTCTGTTTTACATTCTATAAAAAGGGCACAATCTAAAATTACTTTGGGAGAGCTATCAGTTTATCAAAATATTTCAATTTTTTAAAAAGAATGAACATCTCAGGCTCAACATAGGTGAGCATTACAAAATGTACACTCTGTCTTTCCTCCTATCCTTCATGAGTATGTACTCGTTCACATTTCCTCTCCTCATTTACAATATCCAGTGATAAAAATTCCTTACTTAGTATTATGTGTGTCAATAGTATGGAAGAGCTCATGTAATTCTTCTCCACTGAGAACACCATCTGCAAAATATGCTTTGAATTCTTCAAAGGATAATTTCCCATCATCTGAAATGATAAGAATGAACAGAAAAGAGGCAAATCATTTCAATTTTGTACATTATTCTGTCTTTTGATTTCTAAAACTTGGCACATATGTTTGTGTGTATTTGTGTGTATATACATGCATTCAAGAAGGAAGAACATTCAAAGGTGTTAAAAAGAAAAACAATTCATTATGTCTTTATAGTGGGTAGCATGCGGATGTGTGTACTCTGATTAAATACAAGTCTACAAGATTGTGGGTATTTTTGATTGATTCATTCCCATGACAATGTTTAACATTTAAGGAAGTATTTAAATGTTCATAAAAAAAGAAATTCCACACAATAAACAAAAAGTCCAACATAAAGTTCATTATTTAGACATTTTGTCTCCATTACAGTAAGCACATAACAGACACACCAAATGTTAAATAAATATATATTGATTGAATGGATACTTATTCGTGTATATGAGAGCTGTCATTATAACCTAACGCTATATTCACTCATATTCTTTAAGCCAGTGAATATTTTTAAAGCCAAATATATTTTCCTTTCTGAGGAATTCCAAATGAAATGCAGAGCATCTAATGAAAAGGATATGATACATAGACATAAGTGTAAGCATTTTACCCAGTAATACACATATTCTTTAAATATATGGAAGCTGGACATAGATTCTTTTCACTTAGGACCATGAGGGGTTTTAGGAGCATTTTCATCTGTCTTTAACCAAAAGCTCTAGATAAGCACAGATGGAATGAACACATCAATAACAGGCAAAATATGTGTATAAGACATAGAAGCAGCAAATCTAGAGGAATGAAGGTACATGAGGGACAGAGAAGCGTCTATTCCTCCGTGCAGAGCTAGTTTGTCAGTTATCTCAGATAAGCTGTCAAATGACTCTAAGTGATGGAAAAGACTTTCCATTTAAATGGAAAAACCTTTCGATTCAAAATGAGAGAAGTGAGGTTTAAGGAAGAAGAAATTTTCCCCGAATCTCAAAACTCCTACAATGTGATCCTACATCACAGGACACAAACAAACAATACTTTATGAAACAGAACAGAATTTGCCCCTGAGTAGGAGAAGGTAAGATTTAATATGATTAGATATTCAAGATATATTTAGGCTACTTTTTCTCAAAAGATTGGTTACAGAGTGCTTGGAGTACTGTTAAAATGCAAATTTCTGGGCCCAAGAGAATCAGCATCTCATAGTAAATACTGACAGTGGTCAGACAAAAAATCTTGACTATTGGCAACCGGTCTTCCTTACAATATTAGTGAGAGACCTAATCAGTGAATTGCTCATTTTTTGGATAAAGATTAAGAAACTGGAAGTTTTTCAAAAATTCTTATTTGGAAAACATAAAGAGTCCTGGGATTTTATTAATTGTATTTCATTTTGCTTTTTACCTAATAGCCACAATATACCACTTCTCCAGTAATTCTTGCTAATAGTTAATTTAGCAGACATAGCTAAGGAGGTGGTAAAAATTTGGATCTGGGCCCAGCACAGAATGAGTTCCTGACCCCTTGACCTGTGTGTGGGACCAGACCATCTCAGCCATTCAAAGACCATAACAACCCAGCACAACCCACTGGGGTAATCAATTGTCTGATTTGTGTTTCTGTTTTTAGAGGAGTTATTTTAGTTTCATGCCATATATGACTTTTGGGACTTTAGCCCCATGTAATCTATTGAATCTTCTGGGTTAGACATAGGTCAGTGTTTCTGAATACATGCATTCAAGAATGCATGCATTTTTTTATATTGATGAGAAATTTATTGCCAGGTTGAAAAATTGAACCTAAATCAGATCTAGGTACAAGGCAAAGAAAGACAGGCAAAGAAATTTAATCTATGTTTTTTTAAAAAAAGAAGGAAAGACAGTGAAAAGAAAAACAGAAAGCAATACACTATTTTCAATTCTACTGCTGTGGTGTGTAATGACTGTAAGGTACACATACTGATGATAGAGTATGTTTTCTTTGGTGAACAGTTAATGCACTTAGGTGTGCTTAACAAGGCTGGATAGAACTCTGGCTGCTGGTGTATCCTATAGATAGGTGGGCCTCTGAAACATGGCTCTATAATTAGCATAAGTAAGTAATTTCAAGTAATAATGCATGTACAATCAAATAAAAGCACTGACTAGCAAGTGCTATAATATATTTTTTAAAATTCATTTTGAAGTTCCTGACTTGAAGGATGCAAAGAATGCTTTGAAAGTCTGGTTTTTAAATTTTTTTTCTTTTTACCCACCTGCAGGGCTCCTTCAAGCCTTAACTTCAGGCTGCCACTCTTAAACAAGCAATTGCAAAGAGTAACTTTTGAATGGTTCTAGACTAGGGCCTTAATGTTAAACAATAATACTACTTTTTTAATGGAAGGGGAAAATTTTCCCTTTGCAGTGTGCTTCTGTATTAGTAAAGCAATCATGAATTTTTATTAAGATTTTTATTTCAACTTCAATTTGTATGCTGAAATTCTTTTTTGAAATAGAGCAATGCAATAAAACCTTGTTTTATTTAAGCTTTGTTCACAGAATAGCCAGGTCTTTTGAAATCTGAATTCCTAGGCTGCTGAATATTAACTTTTAATACCAATGGGCACAGATTTTTCAACCTCTTCTATTAGAACTGTATGCTGTGTCTAAGTTTACTATGAGCATAGTTACCCACTCTCTACTTTACTTTTAAATTATCATGGCCTTATGTTCCAAATCCTGTTTATTTTTGAGATGGAGGAAATAAGAGTAAGGGGCTTTTTTTTTTTTGTCTTTTTTTCACTTTTCTTTTTTGGTACCGGAAATCAAACCCAGGGCCTCGGACTTGCCGGGCAGGAGCTACACCGCTGAGGTACATCCCTGGCCCTAGAAAATTGTTTTAAAACAAAGAAAATTTTTTTGTCAAACAAGTTTTGCCACAGATTACTAGTAGATCACTTTTCTCCATTATTCTATAAAGCATTTATTAAGGTCCTGCTGCATGAAAAACATTGTTTTGTGCTAAGAACATCAGCAGGCAAACCTTATAGATCTTCTAATCACAATCACAATGGGGATGCAGCAAATGAGCAGCTGAGCACAGTATGACAGGAATCCTAGGCAATCCCAGGAAACTGTGGTGCACATAAGTGTGGGAATTATCAACACCTTATACATGGGGTCCCAGAAGCAGGTGACTTCTCCCAGAGAGAAAGTCTTCAGTGGGAAAGAAAGGGCCCTAGAACAGGATTTGGAAATGCCACCAAATTCTTTCAAGTTCCAATTTCATAGATGTTTGACTATTACAAAGACTAAGTGAAAGGTTAAATATTAAGCACATAGTGAAGAGTTCAACTACTGTAGATATGGATTTCGGACATCAGTCTTGATAACTGATGATCATAAATGTTTTTAACTCTCACTTTCTGCTCTGACCACTTTCTATTCCTTGTTATTAAGCACATACAGAAAATAAGCATTTTATATGTTTGTTTAATGATAGAAATTTTAATTTATTTTCTAGGTAATCATGTTTTGCTCAATTTGAAACTCATGCTTCTTTTATAATAAGGCTCTTTAAACATTCATTTAATGTCTCATTTAAATTGATCTACAAATACACAAACACCTACAGATCTGATCTTAGTATCACTCCTTCCCTAGCAATATTAGTTCAGTGATTTGGGGACTTAAAATTATTATTCTTTCAAAACACTAGAGTCTCATTCATGCATTACTTTAACATTTTTGAAGACTTTAAATACTGTAGTTCATCCATATCCAAATATCAAAACATGAGCATCTTCACTAACAATAGCAGAATCCCTACTACCTAACACCTGGCTAACATTATTGAGCTTTATCCAAAAGGACAGAGTGTACGTATATGCAAATATTTGAAGTAAAAACTAAAAAAAACAACGTTATTTCTAAAATGAAGTTAAGTTGTAAATTCAGGGAAATTATAATTAATATCCACAGTTTATTATTTTTAGTAAATAAAACACTTTCTAACAAATGTTTATATCATCTTGCACAAGAAATTAAAGTCATTGTACATCAACTTCTTCATCACTAAATGAAAGCTCCTTCTTCTGACTTAGTAGTTATATATTTATCTTAAAATATTATACCCACTACATAAAAATAAAACAGAGGATCTTCCACTTTCAGCTCCAATATATTAAGACCTTGGACATTATCATTCCTGTCTTCAGGACAACAAAAATCTGGACAAACTGAGATTCAGTGTTTTGTTTTTTTTTTTTTTTTTTTTCCCTAGACCTAGCAGAGAATTGAAGTCACTCCCCAAATCTGGACAGAGAGGAGGAGCCAGAGAATCACAGCCCGGATCTGTTTACCTGGAGCAAAAGTCACTGGAGCTATAAACTGATAGAAATTTAGATAAATGGGCTGAAGGTTGAGTGCAGACTAGGGTAAGCGTGAGGCATACTTGGGGGCTTCAGCCTTTGGTGGGTTTACCTCCAGGGGTCCTTCCAAGTTCTCACCATGAGGAGGCAAGAAAGCTCCCTCTGTGGCTCTGGTAGACAGACAGGGGGAGAATAATAATCAAAGAGGAGCTAGGACAGCAAAGTTCTGTTCTCCAGGGGCAAAGACTCTACTTCAGCCAAGGGCCAACAAATGTCAAGACACATCTGCCTCATCAATTCCGGATAGCCTTCTTTTCTCAACTTAGAGTGTAGGCAGCTAAGAAACACTTGTAAAGGGGTCAGCCTGAGAACACAGGATCAATAAAGATCAAGATTTAACCATAAGATTACAGAGCTCCTTACCACCACACCATCAATGCTCCTATATGAGGAAGTAGACTGCAAATAAGAGAACTGCCAGACTGGGCCTCTCTTTGAGCTTAAGGAAGTTCAAAATCAACAGAAGAAGCAAAAGACTCAGGAGTTTGAAGCCTTTGGCATTTACAGCCAGAACAATTACCAAGCACAAAGCACCACCAAGTAAATCCCCAGCCTGGAGGACTTTAAATTTAAAATTCATTTCCTATTTCCTGAAGATCA